TTTTTCCCATGCTGCTTTCAGGATTCTTTCTGTCTTTGCTTTTGGTGAGTTTGATGATGATATGGCTTGGTAATTTTCTTTTGGGGTCTATCCTGTTTGGGGTTCATTTGACTTCTTGAATGGGTATATGCTTGTCTTTCATCGTATCAGGGAAATTCTCTTCCAACAAATCTTTGACAATTTTCTCTGTGGTTTTGTCTTTCTCTGTTTTGAAATTCTGATTACATGTTGGTTATTCCTTTTGATGGTATCCAACATGAACCTTAATCTTTCTTCATTTTGTTTTGATCTTTTTTCTGATTGATCCCTTTCCAAAGAAGTATTCAGGTATTTGTCTTCAGTCTCACTAGTTTTGTCTTTCATTGATTCAATTCTACTCCTTTGTCCATTCAATGTGTTACCTATTTCTGAAAATTTAGTATTAATCTTCTGGATTTCTATCTGCAGATTTTATATCATTTTTTATTTTATTTTATTTTTTTTGTGGTCATTTTGTTCTTGTACTGTCTTCCGAAATTGTTCTAAGGTTTTGTGTTTTCCTCAGTTTTGTCAGTGTTTTCCTTGTTCAGTCTCTCAGCCTAAATATAATTCTTTTGAATTCCTTATCAGGGAGTTCCAATGCTGCTTTTTGCTCAGCGATATATCCTGGATGTAACCAGGATGCATGCTGGTTCCTTGTTTCTACTGCTTTATCTTGCTTCTTTGTGTGGACTGTGATGTTCTGTTGTCTCCGAGACATTGTGACATTTTTGTGTTTATATTTAATTATGATTGTATGTTGGAGTGATTCACCCAAGATTTTAGTTTTGTTTTGTTTGCATGTCTCTGAGTAAGCAAAGTACCGTGCTCTTCTATCCGCTAGTTGGCAGCACTTATGCACTCACTACCTGTCTACTTTCTAGTCGTCAGCACCCCATATGTCCATGCTGTCTTTGGCAAGTGAAGTCTATTCTTAGGTGCCTGGAATCTGAACAAGAATGCTGTCACTTTAAATATCCAAAATGGCCACCACTTGTAAACACTCAGAATGGCTGCACCCTACAGACAGCTGAACGTCCACAATTCAGTTTGTCTCCTTCTTTGATGTTTCCCTTTTTAGTCGTCAACTACCCATGCAGTAGTGCACGCAGCCCATAGTGGGCGGGGCTGATTTTTAGGTTAATTCTCAGGTCCTAACACCACTTGGAAATATTCAGGCTGTTCGTGCTGTCAGGACAGCTGACAGTCTGCAGCTCCGTTTGTCTCCTTACTTGCTGTTTTCACTCAGCTTCTTCTATTAGTTAGTGTTTAATTGGCTTCTGTATCATTCCGTTCAAAGCTCAGGGCTCCAGGATTATCTTTTGTATCTGTTAATTGTTTTCTCTTTTCTTTGTTTAAGAGGGTCTTTGTAGCTTGTCTTCCTATTTCACCATCTTACCAGAAGTCTCTAGCTGCACCCCCAGGCGTGAGATTTTTGTTTTCTTTCTGTTGAGATATAATTCATACTGAAGACTGAAGGCTTTATGTAATCTTTGACACCCTCCCCCACAACTTTTTATTGTGATTTGGATGAAATTTTACTAAGGAGATTCATTTCACATTCAATAGTTCATACACATTTTTTTTGTGTGACACTGGGTACATTTCCTCCAGCGTAAAATCTCACCTCCCACTTCCTCCCTGTGGTTCTCCTTAGACTTTGACATTCATCAGTAAGTGCTTCAAGTCTTCTTTTCTTTCAGCAAAGAAGGTTGTATCATCTGCATACTGCAGGTTGTTAACGAGTCTTCCTCCAATCCTTATGCCACATTTTTCTTCATACAGTCCAGTTTCTCTGATTATCTGCTCAGCATACAGACTGAATAAGTACAGTGACAGGATACAATCCAGACCCACACTCTTCCTAATTTTAAACTATGCAGTATCCCCTCATTCTGTCTGAATGACAGCTTCCTGGTCTATGTACAGGTTCCTCATTAGCACAATTAAATATTCTGGAAATCCCATTCTTTGCAATGTTATCCATCATTTGTTATGATTCACACAAGCAATGCTTTTGCATAGTCAATAAAACACAAATAAACATCTTTAGAGTCTTCTTTGCTTTCAGCCAAGATTCATCTGACATCAGCAATGACATCCCTTGTTCCATGTCCTCTTCTGAATCCAGCTTGAATTTCTGGCAGTTCCCTATCAATGTAGTGATGCAACAGTTTTTGAATTGTCTTCAGCAAAATTTTACTTGTGTGTCATATTAATGATATTGTTCATTAATTTCTACATTTTGTTGGACATTTTTCTTTACAAATGGTACAAATAGCAATCTCTTCTAGTTGGTTGGCCAGGTAACTGACTTCCAAATTTCTTGACATAAACAAGTGAACACCTGCACTGTTGCATGTTTTGCTGAAACATCTTAATGGTATTCTGTCAATTCCTGGGGCCTTGTTTCTCACCACTGACTTCAGTGCAGCTTGGATTCTTCCTTCAGTACCATCAGTTCTTGGTCATATGCTACGTCCTGAAATGGGTGTATATCAACCAATTATATTTGGTATAGTGACTCTGTGTATTCCTTTCATCCTTTCTGGATTGTTCAATATTTTGCCCATAGAATCCTTCAATAGTGTGACTCAAGATTTGAATTTTTTCTTCAGTTCTTTCAGCTTGAGAAATGCTGAGCATGATCTTCACTTTTCGCTTCTAATATCAGGTCGTTGCACGTTTCATTATAATATTTTACTTTATCTGTTTGAGCCACCCTTTAAAGTCTTCTGTTCAGCTCTTTTATTTCATCATTTCTTCCATTCACTTTAGCTAATCTCCACTCAATAGCATGTTTCAGAGTCTCTTCCAACATTCATTTTGGTTTCTTCTTCCTTTCCTGTCTTTTTAATGACCTTTTGCTCTCTTCACATATAATGTTCATGATGTTATCACTAAATTCATCTGGTTATCAGTCACTGGTGTGCAATACATCAAATTTATTCTTCATATAGTCTTTTAATTTAGGTAGCAAACAATCAAGGTCATATTTAGGCTCTTGTGGACTTGTTTTAGTTTTCTTCAGCTTCAACTAGAACTTGCATATGAGCAATTGATGGTCTGTTCCACAGTAATTTCCTGACCATGTTTTGATTGGTGATACTGAGCTTCTCTATCACCTCTTTCTACAAATGTTGATTTAATTCCTGTGTATTCCATCTGACAAGGTCCACACATACCACCAATTATGTTAATGAAAAAAGTATTTGCAATGAGTAAGTTGACAGTCTTGCAAAATTTTATCATGCATTCTCCATTGTCATTTCTATTACTAAGGACATATTTCCCAATCACTGATGCTTCTTCATTTCCAACTTTCACACTTCAATCATCAGTAATCATCACTACTTCTTCTCTATTGCATGTCTGGTCAATTCCAGACCACAGAAGTTGGAAAAAATCTTCAATTTCTTTGTCTTTGGCTTTCGTGGTTGATTTGTAAATTTGATTAACAGTAGTATTAAGTGGTCTTCCTTGTAGGCAAATGGGTATTATCCTATCACTGACAACATTATACTTCCAGAGAAATTTTGAGATATTCTTTTTGATGATGAATGCAAGACCATTCATCTAAAATTTGTCAATTCCAGCATAATAGACCATATGACTATCTGATTCAAAATAGCCAGTACCAGTCTATCTCAGCTCCCTAATGTCTAGAATATAGATTTTTATGCATTTCATTTCATGTTTGACAACTTCCAATTCTCCTTGATTCATACATCGTACATTCCACATTCCGATTGCTAATGAATGTTTGCAGCTGTTTCTTCTCATTTTGTGTCACGCCACATCAGCAAATGAAAGTCCTGAAAGCTTTACTTCATCCACATCATTAAGGTCAACTCTACTTTGAGGAGGCAGATCCTCCCCTGTTGTATTTTGAGTGCCTTCCAACATGAAGGGCTCATTTTTTGGTGCTGTATCAGACAACATTTCACTGCTACTCTTAAAGGTTTTCAATGGTCAGTTTCTTCATAACTGGATGACCCTATCCTTCTTCCCAGTCTATCTTACTCTGGAAGTTCTCCTGAAATCTGTCAACCATGGGTGACCCTGATGGTATTTGAAATACCAGTGGCATAGTTTCCAGCATCCCAGCAACACAAAAGCCACCACAGTATGACAAACTGACAGATGAGTGATTAGCATTGTGATTATAAGAATCTATGCATGTGTTAAAGCTCTTATTACTGTATACTTAGAAAAGGGCAAATTTTCCCATATATAAATTTTAGTAAAACTTTTAAAAAGTTTTAAATGTAAATAGTATAAGGCAAATCACAAATAAAAACAACTTAAGCACAGGAGAAGAAAAAAAATTAGGCTTTCCAGAAAAAAATCCATTAAATGACACAATTAGGAAATTTGTAAATAATTTTAATTAGATAAAAGTCAAATAAAACTAATTTAATCAGATTATTATATTCTTAGTCAAATTTTCCTTTATGAACACCTATCAAACACAATCTAGTGGACTAGATCACTCATAGAACACAATGTGTATGTATAGTGTGTGTAAGATAGTGTGTATATGTATGTGAGTGTCTGTGAAGGTGAGCATATGTATGACTCATTGTGTGTGTGTGTGAAAAGAAAGCCCAGTCTCGTACCAAGTAAAGCTACTGTAGATCATGATAGTTTCAGGCCCAAGCCTAAAGGTTTCCACAGTGGTTGGTAGCAGAGAGTCCGGGTTGTGGAATTGGAGGATGCAGAACAGAGGAAACACAGAGTAGGGCAACAGGGCCGGGATGACGTGGGGCAGGGGACATGGGATAGCAAGGAAAAGAGCAGGAAGGATCTGGGGTGGGAAGGAGAAAAGTGGGAGAACTTGAGGTAGGGGGAACACGAAGCGAGGGGGACAAGGGGTGGGAAGGACATGGGGCAGGGGAACACAGGGCAGGGGACAGGGCAAGGAGGAGGGAGGAGGTGGAGAGGATGAGGGAAAATCTAATACAAAAAGTATAAATACGTACACTCAGGGTACAGCCCTTCTGCAGATGGTGCTTCAGAGTCTTTTCAAGCTTGGACACAGCCTTGCACAGCTCTGCTTTCTCTTGGGTCACAGTGCTGAGCACTTTTGTAAGGGAATCATTGTCTTTCAGCAAGACATCCACAAGCTGGATTTGTAGCTGTACAGCTGTTTTTTTCTTGAGAAAAAGAAAGTAAAAAAAGTTAAGTATTTTTTGTTAAAAAGCATGCACATGATTTTTGTGTTTTTGTTGCTGGTGGTTATTTTCAGGGGTTATCTTTTTAAAGCATTTAGTGTTGGGGGTAAGTTGACAGAGTATATTGACAAAGAACTTCCAGAAATGCAAGCTCGATTAAGAAGAGGATGTGGAACGAGAGATATCACTGCTAATGTCACGTGGATCTTAGCTGAAAACAAAGAATACCAGAAAAATGTTTATTTGTGTTTTATTTGACTATGCAAAAGCATTTGATTGTGTGGATCATAACAAATTATGGATAACTGAGAAGAATGGGAATTCCAGAACACTTAATTGTGCTCATGAGGAACCTATACATACACCAGGAGGCTGTCGTTCAAACAAAACAAGGGGATACTGCATGGTTTAAAATCAGGAAGGGAGTGCATCAGTGTTGGATCCTTTCACCATACTTATTCAATCTGTATGCTGAGCAAATAATCCCAGAAGCTGGACTATATGAAGAAGAACGTGGCATCAGGATTGAAAAAAAGACTCATTAACAACCTGCAGTACTCAGATGACACAACTTTGCTCGCTCAAAGTGAGGATGATTTGATACACTTATTGATGAAGATTAGAGACTACAGTCTGCAGTATGGGTTATATCTCAACATAAAGAAAACAAAAATCCTCACAACTGGACCAATAAGCAGCATCACAATCAATGGAGAAAAGATTGAAGTTGTCAAAGACTTCATATTGCTAGGTTCTACAGTCAACACCAATGGAAGCAGCAGTCAAGAAATCAAGCTCTTTCAAGTGCTGAAGAGCAAAGATATCTCCTTGAAGACTAAGGAGTGCCTAACCCAAGCCATGGTAATTTCAATCACCTCTTGTATGTGACAGCTGGACAATGAATAAGGAAGATCAAAGAAGAGTTGATGTTTTTGAATTGCGGTGCTGGCAAAGAATACTGAAAGTACCATGGTCTGCTAAAAGGACTAACAAATCTGTCCTGGAAGAAGTGCAGCTGTAATGCTCCTTGGAAGCAAGAACGGTCAGACTTCACCTCAGCTACTTTGGTCATGCTGTCAGAAAGGACCATTCCCTGGAGAAGGATACCATGCTTGGTAAAGTGGAGGGTCAACGAAAAAGGGGAAGGCCCTCAATGAGATAAACTGACACAGAAGCTGCAACAATGGGCTCAGGTACAGCAAGGATTATGAGGCTAGCACAGGACTGGGCAGTGTTTCGTTTTGTTGTACATAGGGTCGCTATGAGTCGGAGCGGACTTGAGGGCATCTAACAACAACACAACAGTGTTAGTGGAACATATGCAGGGGAGTTGTGCTATGCACCTAGGGTACAGGCAATAGTCAAGGTCATCCTATCGTGCTTTTTTTCAGTGCCCTACAAAGGGGCTTTCCACAAAATTCCTGTGTGACAGAGTGGGTGTGGCACAAGCCCAGACCTGTTTTGGTTACCATACCAGTGATGTAAAAGTCCCACCCTGAGCAGTGACCAGAGAACAAACCTTGTTCATGACTTGGGAGCAGACCATACAAGTCCCTTAGAGCAAGTTTGTTATCTCCATGACCAGATAAACATTTTGTTCACAGAAAGGGCACAGAGAGGGCATGGGGCCAGATACAGGAACCCTGGACAGAGTGGTTGATATCAGAGTGCCCTGGTTGTGGAGTTGGAGGATGCAGAACTGAGGAAACAGAGAGTAGAGCGGTAGGGTGGGGAGGACGTGGGGCAGGGAACGTGGGACAGCAAGGAAAGGAGTAGGAGGGATCTGGGGTGGGGAGGAGAAAAAGTAAGAGAACTTGAGGTGGGGGGGACACAAAGCGAGGGGGACAAGGGGCGGAAAGGACATGGGGCAGGGGAACACGGGGCAGGGGACAGGGCAAGGAGGGGGTGGAGAGGATGAGTGAACATCTAGTCATGAGTCCATCACTCACCTGAGAGGAGGTGGATGCGCTCAGGTCAGATTTCAGTTCCTCTAGTGTCCGCAGCAATGAGGCCACTGCTTTCTCATTTGATGATGTCCAATCATTAATTGTTCTGTAAAAGTCAACAGGCATTTTAAGTGTTTGTATGGACACCAACTGACCATCACTCTAAAGCTATTCATGAACCCTCTGCTAGGAGACAAAAGTGATGAGTTTGCCTAATACTGTAGCACAGCACCAGACTAAATGGGAAACCACCTGTAGTGCTCTATTAATCACTTGTTGGACTACATTTATTTCATTAAGAGTATTTCCTCAGGAAAGGAGCTGGAGAGCTAGGAACCCGGTGAATGCAGCAGCAGTGCCAAAAGTCACACAGCATGGCAATAATGTGGGCAGCTGCACACTGCAGTGGCGATACCAGCATCAGCCAGAAGTCACTTCAGATGGGGTAGTGAAACCCATGGGGGTGACGACTTCAGTCATCGAGCTCTGAGCAGAAAGAGGCCTGAAAAAAAGCTTTGTTTAGAATCATGCTGCTCTAAACATTAAATGCAATTAGAGAAGGAACACTGTATTAGTTGAGTTTCTGTGCAGCAGAAAAAAGGGAAACATCAACAACAGCTTTTACATTCATTCAGATTGTCCCTGGTTTCAACGTCCTGAACAGTATAAGCCAGCACTGACTGCATGTGGCAGCCCGAGAGATCTCAGTGTGATGGCCAGGGGCCTCTGTAAATGTGCATGCAGGCACAGAACCAGTATCAAAAAAAAACGTTAGTCACAACATTTTCTCTAATATTAAAGTTCAAAAAATAGTATTTTGTCAATCTTCTAGAGTCCTGCCCACTAATTTATCTACACACACAGAAAAGGAAATAGAGAGTGTATTTCATTAAAACATGGACTTGAAACGCCTTTATTTTGCAAAGATCTCATAATTTTTCCTAATTTGAAAAAGGAACATTTAAACTGTATTGATGAGTTCTAATGAACCCGTGTGTACCTATTCACAGTCTGCTGGATGAAGCTGGTCAGGAGCCCAGCGGCACAGAGGAGCTGTTGCCGTATCTTCTCTAGCTCCTCCTGCTGCTCTTGGATGTGCTTGAGCTCCGATGAGAAGCATAGCTCTGTGTGGCTAGTACTGTGTGGTGAATTCACACAAAGGCCACTGCCAGAACCCAAGTCTCCCCTCGAATGCAGGTCCCTCACCATCTGCTGAAGCTGCTCGATTTTATGCTCATCACGCTGTCGCTGCAGTTCTAGTTCCCGCTGTTATCAATGGCACACAACACAAAAGAGATTATCACATACATGTTCCCAATACCAAACTGCTAAGAGAAAGACCAAACACAGAGCAGTGTACAAGGGGAGCCACTTGCAGGCCAGAATAGAACCCCAGTGAGTGCAGGTGGCAGAAACTCTTCTGCACAGAAGTCTCCCACTAGGTGATGGAGTGAGTCACCACATGCCCCACACTGGGGTGTTCCAGGTACAACAAGAGTCGGGGGATGGGTTGAACCATGCCCCACAGCTGTGGTATGATGAGATCCAATGTTTGGGAGGACAACTTAGCTTTCAGTAGGTCCAAGATAAGTACTCTGAGTGAAAGGGGAGGAACTTGGGGTGCTGGAGTCAACAGAATGGAGTTTCACAGGCCTTGCATTCTGGTCCTACACACCACACACATATCAACACACAGACATGGTGCACATACACACATGGCCACATAGGGTCATAAAAACATACATAAACACAAGCATGAGCAGCATACACAAACATGTATACACATGAAGAGATGTACACACAGACACAAAGGCACATTTTTGCACATGTACACACATCACATGAATAGCATACCCATTTATATATATATATGAACATATGCAGACATGGAAACAGAGACATATACACACAGAGATCACATGTGCACACATGGACAAAGAGGGATATGTATACAATACATAACTATGTGAACACACATGTACACAGATGTACAGGGACATGTACACAGTGTATGCATACATGTGAACACAAGTACACTGTGTAAACAGACAAGGACATATACACACACAGATATATGCACACATGAACACAAATACAGAGATATACAAACACACTGCATGCACACATGGACACACAGGGACATACTAAACATCCATGCAAGTATGTACATATGCATGCACATGTGCATACAATCACACATAGGGACATGTACATATACATATACCTAAACATATTCACATGGACACACATAACACACATATAGCAATATGCACACACACATGCACACCCCACCTACCACAGGAGCCTATGCTGCTGGCTACATGCATTCCTGGGTCTCAGCTGGGTTATTTGAGTACCCTCTGCCCTTTTGAACCTAACACCTCATAAAACTTCAACCTTCTCTTAGAACCCCAGAGACTATGGCCCTTGGTCATTCTTCAGATCTGGAACTGAACTTGCTTCCATAGCTCAATTTTCAGTCAAAAAATAGACAGGTCTACAAGGTGAACAATAACTCTAGGAAAGTACCCACTCCTTGGAACAATTATCCATTTGAGATCAAAAGGGCAGCATTTGCCCTAGGACAAAATTCAGAAGGCATAAAGGGTTAGGAGAGAAGGAGGAACAGAAACAAGAAACACAGGAGGAATTGGAAGGAGTGATGTTGCATTGAGGGGATTACAATTAATGACATGAATCAAAATGTGTGTACATTATTGAATGGAAAACTGATCTGCTTTGTAAACTCTCACTCAAATCATAATAAAAAGTTTTTTTTAAAAAAAACAAACTCCAAAACAATCCTATAGAGCACAGTTCTACTTTCCACAAATGGGATCCAAGAGTTGGAAATGACTCAACAGTAACCAACAACAGTGTTCCATGAACTGCTTTCCTTCCTTTCCTTTCCTTACTCCCCCACTCCCCTACTGGTGCTTCCTCATCTCCCAAAAAAATCACTTGCACTCTAAAAACTCCCACCTTATTTGTAAAATGGAGATTATTCAATGCATTTTCACTGACTTACTGCCAATTATGTGCCAGGCCTTGTGTAAAGGGCCAGGGAAAAAGCAGTGAGCAAATGCATCAAGTCCCTGCTCCACTAGGGAGACTGAAGAAATCCCTGAACAAAAACTTAGTGGAGAGGCGGCTGCAGGAAGAGCAACAGGGCCTTTCCCAGGGCCCATGGGGCCTCCTCATGGGAAAACTGAGAGTAAACAAGCAAGAAAAAGTTCCTGAGAGTGGTGATGCACAACTGATGCTGGGGAGGGAGCAAGAGAGGACAATGGGGACAAGCTCCATGTGGTGTAGTAAATTACATGGTATGGCTTTTCTAGCCATAGTCTTTGTAACTCCCATAGGAGTAGTGGGTGGGGCCATGAAATTTAAACTCCTAATTGTTAAAGTTATCCACCTGATATATTTCTGTTGGAGCAGCATGAAGTAATCTTCTGGGAAGTTCGCTCTCTCTCAGGTGTGTAGAATTCTAATGTTGGGATTGGTTAGTTTTGCCATTCTGCTAGGCTTAAAATGAGCCCTCCTAGAGGCAGAAAGGAATCTGACTGCTGGCTGAGAGAGACGTGCTGCTGAGAGAGACTGTCGGCTGAGAGAGATGAATGCGTTATTGAACTTGAATTGTAGCCTGTTGCTTCCCTAATAAACCCCATAATCTGCAAGTTCTGTGTAGCCACTGCAGCAAGTTATTGAGCCCAGCAGAGAGGTGGTAGGTGTTGCCAGAGGGACAGTTGGTTTCAAGATTGGTAAGAGGGCTGGAGGGTGGCAGCATGTCTGGCCTCATAAGAACAGACCTTGGGCTGCTGATGGTGATTCTGCCTTTCTTTTGTAGAGTTAGAGGAGGTCAGAAGATGCTGCCTCCTTGCCCCTTTAGCAACCCACAAACAAAGGAAAAATAGGTACGCCTCAACACCTCAGCCAAAAGTCCTACACAGCAGATAGTGGGAAGCGACAGGAGAGTACAGAGGCTTACGCTGCTAAAATTGGCGGGTTCCACACACAACACACCCTGAGGCTACTGTTTATGAACATACCTCATTGTACTTGAGAGGGGACAGGAATGATCATTTTATCATCAATTTCCCAGATAAGGGAAGTAAAACACAGAAACTAGGAAGCTCATTTTGTTCAGAAAAGAACTTAGTCACTAGCTATGCTAGAGAAGCAGTCTATGATCCAGAGCAACCCAGACACATGCAGAAAAAGTAGCACCTGGAGGACCACATGACCTGAAACACACACATCCAGGTGCATCAGGAAGAACAGTTATTGATTTGACTTAGGAAACATCTTCTTTATACTTAGCTTTCAATATTGTTTTGGGAAATATTCAAAGAAGAACAAACTCGTTTGACAATCACAAGAAAGTGACAGACACTCTTCCTAAGGGGAAAATAAACAGTGAGCATAGTCCAGGGTCATTAGTCGCCAAGGCCCACCTAGGGCCCAATTCCATCCTCTTTCACTCAACCACTTGGAATACTCCTGGCCACATTCTGTCCAATGTCTACACCTCCAAAACATTCCCTACTTCTCAAGATTTCTAGTGATTAAACACGACAAATATTTTGAAGTGTTTCTTTTTTTAATGGTAATAATATTAATCATTATTGACACATGCCACAACATAAATCTTGAAAACATTGTGCTGAGTGAAATACGTCAGTCACAAAAAGACAAATACTGTATGATCCCACTTATATGAAAAACCTAGACAGAAAGTAGATTAGAGATTACCAGTGGCTGGGGGGGGGGGGGAACGGATAAAGAAGAGTGACTGCTCAACGTATATGGGTTTCTTTTTGGGGTGATAACATACTTTTAAAATAATTTTATGGCAAATGAAAGCTAAAAACCAAACTCACTGCCATCGAGTTGGATCCAACACATAGTGACCCCACCTTGGGTTTCCGAGGCAGTATCACTATGGAAGTAGATCGCCCAACCTTCCTTCTGAAGAGAGGCTGGCAGGTTTGAACCGCCAGCCTTCTGGTTAGCAGTCAAATGCCTTAGGCACTACACCATCAGATCTCCATTTTTATGGCAAGCTGACCACTAAAAGGACCAGGCTACTGGTTTTATCTATGTGCTCTTTAAAAACTTTTTATAATTTCTCAAGGTATACAAGGAAATAACTCACGGCCGTTGAGTTGATTCAACTCATAGCGACTTCTCTTTGGGTTTCTGAGGCTATATCTCTACAGAAGTAGATTGCCAAGTCTTCCTTCCAAGAAGTAGCTGATGGGTTTGAAGCGCCAGCCTTCTGGTTAGCAGTCAAATGCCTTAGGCACTATGCCACCTGAGCTCCCCATAAAAGGAAATAGTGTGGTATTTTTCAAAAAGTATTTTAAAGAATATTTTTAAGGAGTGTAAAACAAAGGTCAATCCACAAGAAGATGCAGGGTATTTATTTTATTAAAAACAAAGGCTTTTGGTTGATGCAAAATGCAACAAAAAATGAAGAGTCACACAAAAAAATACAAGTGGGGGGAAAACTTACCCAACACATACTCTGAGGCTAATATTATCTTGATACCAAAACCAGACAAAGACATCAAAAAGGAAAAAAATAAACTATAGACCAATATCCCTTATGAATATAGATGCAAAAATCCTCAACAAAATACTAGTAAACTAACGTCAATGTCATATTAAAGGAATATGTACCATGATCAAGTGAGATTTTTCCCAGGAATGCAAGGCTAGTTTAGCATCTGACAATCCATCAATATATTAAGCAATAAAGGAAAGAAAAGAAAAGAAAAAAACCCTATGATCTCAGTAGACACAAAAAAAAGCGTTATCAAATACAATACTCTCTCATAATTAAAAAAATATATATATCAACAAACTAGGCATAGAAAGTAATAGGTAACTTCCTCCATCTGAGGACATCTATATAATAACCTCAGTTACTCATACTTAACAATGGAAGTCTGAATGCTTTCCCCCTAAGATCAAGAACAAGACACTATACTAGAGGGTAGAGCCTGGGCAATTAGTGAAGTAATAAAAGGCATCCAGATTTGGAAGGAAGAAATAAAACTATCTCTATGTGCAGATGATATGATCTTGTAAATAGAAAATCTTAAGAAAATTACAAAAATAACTACTAGAACTAATAAATGAGTTCAGCAAAGTTGTAGGGTATAAGATTAATACACAAAAATCAATTTCATTTCTCTATTCTAGCAAGGAACCATCTGAAGATGAAAGTAAGAAAGCAATTCCATTTACAATTGCATGAAAAAACATTAAAATCCTTTGAATTATTTCAAAGAAGTGTAAAACTATACTCTGAAAACTACAAAACATTGTTGGAAGAAATTACAAGATAACGTAAATAAGTCAAATGGCATCTAATTGACTTACTGCCAATTACGTGCCATGCCCTGTGTGAAGGGCCAGGCAGAAAGCAGTGTACAAATGAGGTTTCTGCTCCAGGGTCTAACTCCACAGGGGAGACTGAGGAAATCCCTAATATGTTCATATGGAAATACAAGGGACCAAGACAGCCAAAACAACCCTAAGAGAAGAATAAAGTAGGAGAACTCACACTTGATTTCAAAACTTACTACAAAGTTGTAGTAACCAAGATTGGGTGGTGCTGGCACAAGGACAAAGCCACAGATCAATGGGACAGGACTGAGAATTCAGAATAAGCCCTCGCACATGGTCTATCTGTGTGACTGCCCCCCAGCCATCCCTCATGTTTTCTGGGCACCAAGCAATGATGGGCTGGGGCCCTTGCCGGCGAGCCGGTGCTCACCAGTCTCTCCTTGTCTCTCTGCCACTTCTTCCACTTCTCCACATCTGCACGGCTCTGCCTCGGATCCACTCTCCTCCTCCGTTCTTTGCGTGACTCTTGCTCTCTCAATCTCGCCTGTAACTGCTCTAATTCTGTCTGTAACTGTGCTGGCTTCTCCCTCTCCTTCTCCAGAGAGCATCTCAGCTCCTGTTTCTGGGTCTGCAGGGCCTCCATGGTCACTTCCAGGCTGGAACTTACCTCTCTCTCTCGCTTGAGCTCCTCATTGCGTGTCTGCACTTCAGCTTCTAGCCGCTGCTGGGTGCGCACAGCCTGCTGCTGCACGCGCTCAAGCAGTGCCTGTAGCTCTGCCACACGGGCCTGCTCTGTCCCAAGTTTCTGCAGCAGGGCTTGGGGCAGTGAGGCCTCCTGTACTCTACGGCTCAGCTGCTCTGTCAGCAGTCGCTCGTGGGCCAGGGCCTCCGAGAGCTCCCGTGAGTGGCCCTGCTCCACCTCCATGCTTTTCTGCAGCTCAGCAAGCTTACTGCGCTCCTGCTCCAGCAGTGCCTCGCAGCGTGAGTACTCAATCTGCAGCTCTTTCTGGAGGTTGTCCTTCGTTGTCTGCTCATGTTTCAATGCCACACACAGTCTGTTATTCTGAGCATACTGCTTCTCCAAAGATGTTCGCAACTCCTGCAGCAGAGAAGGAAGAAAAGGGAAAGTCAAATCTAGAGGAAAAATATGTACCTAGTCTTTCTGCCAAAGTTTTGTTTTTATCCTTTGACCCAGCAATGACCCTTCTTGACTGTTATGGACAGAAGTAGTGTGCACAAGGTTCCTCTGTCATGTCACCATCCTTGGGCATGGCAAGGTACTCTTTGGAAAGCAGCACTAAGTGTACATGCATGTTTTGGGTCTGGAGACACACTTCCTCCAGGATGCTCACACAAAACTACGTCCCATATGTCACAAAGCAAGATGTGTGTTTCCGAAGGAAACTTCACCATCATCCACAGCATGTATGCTACGTTTCTACTATACAAGTGAGCACTAAAACATTGAGCATGTACTCACTTGCACAAGCTCCACTGTAAAGAAAAGCCATATCACAATGACTCCCTGGGCCATGTATACAGACTTCATGGGCTGACAACCAGTGATAGCCAAGCAGAGGCTGTCACGTACCTCCTGGAACTGTGTCCCAGAGAGCTGAGACTGCCAAGGGAGCAGGCTAGCCCACATGGCTGCTCCTCACACCAACTCTCTGTGGCCCTTATGTCTCCCATCACAAATATTAACTATCTTATCTGAAATATAGCTCAGCCCGGCCTCAAGCCCCTGGTGCTGCCAGAATGCTGCCACATGGCTCACAGATCAAATCCCCCAGTTACCTCCAAGGTTTGGGAACTTTGGCCTTCCTTCTGCAGGTGCCGTAGCTGTGCCTCCTCCAGCTGGCTCTGTAGGGCGTGCTCCTTCTCACGCTCTGTCTCCAGCTCCTCAAGCACAGCTTCTAGGTCCTTCTCCTTACTGTCTAGCACAGACCTGGGGGGGGGGGCAGGATATCACCCAGTGGCACCGCTTAAGAGTACTATGCAAGGACATGCAGACAGACTGCCACTGGTAGACAGGTGGGCCAGAGCTCACCCCAGAGAGAAGAGACCCACAGCCATCTTACTGTGAACACATGGTGGATCCCTTTTTCCCATAGCCATAAATCCAGTGAGATCAAATACTACTTTAAAAGCTATGATAGCACTTAGCACACACAGTTCATGACACACTACACTGCTCTACTTTACTTAAATGCCAAGATAAATGTGTCAAGAGCTATATAACTTTGATATATATAGATAGATAGATATAGATATAGATATAGATATAGATATAGATATAGATAGATAGATCTCAATTCAATACCTCACAAAGGCTATTAGCTAGCTATTACACACTGGCAATAATTCATTGTCTTCCATACCTCAGCTGGAGGACCTCCTTCTGCACGTCATTCAAGGACTTGAGCAGCCTTTCATTTTCCTGTTTACACTCAGAGAGCTCAGATTTCAGATCCTTGACAGAATTTTGCTCCAACACAAGCAGCTTTCGAACACTAGTCACTTTCTCCTGCTCCTCGCTTAGTGTTTTCTGTAAGCCACTGGCTATGCATTTCTCCTGCTCAACCTTATATGCCAGTAATTCAACTGAGAAAGAGAGTAAAAATTGTGAAGCAGTATTACTCATTAGCCCAAAGTGAGTTGTTGAGATGATTTAGCAAATTAAAACTAGCATGGTCTAGGGCTATCTTCCTTTGGGAGGTAAACCCCTGTAACGAGAAGCCTACTGCTCCTAATGCTGTTAAAACTCTTAGCATGTTTATCTCCTGCATGTCCTCCACCTTCCATGCTCTGCACTGGGTCTGTCCTGAGCCCCCTTTCCATAACTGTTGCTTTTCCTTCTAGGCCTCCATCTCCAGGTGGGAATGCCAAAGAGATATGACCACACACTACTCTGGAATTGTTTGGGTATGAGGTCTCTCTATAGACAGAGCTGGGGTCAACCTACAACCTTGGTCACCCTGGGTGCCACCATGGGCAAAAGGATGCTTCCAGTAGGAAAGCCCTAGCCCCAGATGGCTTCACTGGCAAACGCTTAGGAAGAGACAACAAAAGCATAAGCAACAAAAGACAAAACAGATAACTGAGATCTCATAAAAATTAAATACTTTGTAAATCAAAGCACTTCATCAACAAAGTGAAGTGACAACTTAAAGACTGAGAGAAAATCATCAGGAACCAAATATCCACTAACGCAACGCAACCACTGCTGTGGAGTCGGATCTGACTCATAGCGACCCCTCCTTGGGTTTCCGAGGCAGTATCACTATGGAAGTAGATTGCCCAAAGGGTATAATATCTAAAATACCATTAAAAAAAATTCTAAAATTTAACAACAAAAAGACAAACTATCCAACCTGAAAATGGACAGAAGACCTGAAGAGACATTTAACTAAAGAGGACATTCAAATGGCCAATGAGCACATGAAATGATGCTCAACATTGTTGTTGTTGTTAAGTGCCGTTGAGTTGGACCCGACTCATAGCGACCCCTCCTTGGGTTACCAAGGCACTATCACTATGGAAATAGATTGCCCAACCTTCCTTCCAAGGAGTGGCTGGTGGGTTTGAACCGCCAGCCATTCCAAAATCCCAACCCACTACTGTCAAGTCAATTCCAACTTACAGTAACCCAACAGGACAGAGTAGAACTACTCCACAGGGTTTCCAAGGGTGAAGCCTTTACAGAAGCAGACTGCCACATCTTTCTCCTGTGGAGCAGGGTGGTGGGTTCAAACCACTGACCTTTCGGTTACCAGCTGAGCACTTAACCAACGTGCCACAAGAGCTTTTTCATTAGGCATTAGGGAGATGCATATCAAAACCACAAAGAGATACCATCTCCCCTCTATTAGAATGGCAATAATCAAAGAAACAGAAAACAATAGGTGCTGGTGATGTGGTAGATCAACTGGAACCCTCATTGATGGTGGGACAAGAAAATGCTACAGCTACTATGGAAAACAGTTTGGTGGTTCCTCAAAAAGTTGAACACAGAACTACCATATGACCCAGCAATCCCAATCCTAGGTATAAACCCAGAAGAAGTAACAGTAGGAACACACACAGAAACCTGTACACCAATGTTCACTGCAGGACTTTTCACAATAGCCAAAAGGTAAAAACAACCAAAATATCTATCAGCATGAATAGATAAAATGTAGTGTATGCATACAATGGAATACTACTCAGCCATAAAGAAAAATCAAGTCCTAATGCATGTTACAACATGGATGAATCTTGAAAGCATCACGCTGAGTGAAATAAATCAGTTGTAAAAGGACAAACACTGTATAATCTCACTTACATGAAGTAAAGACATACATATAAATAAAAAATTATTGTGGTTACCAGGGGTGGGAGGGAAGGGGAAAGCAGGAGTTTTTGCTTAGGGAACATTGAGTTTACGTAAATGGTGTTGGGATGATTTGGAAAAGGATGGCAACGGTTGTACAACATGAAGCATATAATCAATGCCACTGAATTGCACATGTGGAAACTGTTGAATTGGTGAAGGTTTTGTTGTGTATATTTTCTTCCTTCTGTAACACTAGTGAAAGGCTTTGCAAGAAACAGAACAATGGATAGATCCTCATGGACAGATGCACTAATGCTTGTGTCAGCAAATGAAATCCAGTTTCACAAAATGGCCATATACCGTGACAGCCATCCAGACTGCCCACTGTTCAACTTAACATGGTGTGACCTCACCTGCTCCAGACCAATAGTTAGGGCCCAACAAAAGTCATGGTCAGAGGTAAACACTCTTGAGAGCCAGGCAAGGACACTGCTCTCAGGGGTCTGAGCATGTTATACTAGAGGTCTGAGCCAGTGCAACAAGGAAAGAGGTAGAAGCAAAACATGTAGGTGGAACAGGAAACCAAGATGCCATCTGTGCTCAAAAAACATAACCATCACCACAGAGGGTTCTAAAGCAAGTTCAGGTGCAGTGACCTGACATAATGCTCCTGGCTTGGCACAGGTCCCAAGAATGTTCTAGAAGGAAGCGTGACTGTGAAGTGTATCTCTGGCCACTCTCAGCCCCTGGTCCCTTCATCCTGAGTCTGACCATCCAAGGAAGGCAGCAGTGTGATTGCTCAGGTCTCACAAAAACATTGCTTATTGTTTTCAGAGAGCCCCTCTCTGTCACTTTCAGGATGGCATGATGCAGATACTGTGGAAGAGCAGCCTTCATGCCCAGTTCTCCTGACTACCTTGAGGGGGTCCAGCAGCCTCCATTAATTAGCTGTGCTCCCCTCACTGAATGGGTACACAATAGTGGCCATGTGCATGGTGCAAGAACATGCAGGCACAAGAGAGATGGGTGTCTACCTACCCTGTCTGCGCAGCTGGTGCTCCTGGCGGCTCCCACGGGCCTCTGCATTGGTGAGTGCTGCACAGAGCTGCTGGAGCTTCTCCTGGTTCTGTAGGTGGGTCATGCGCAGCTGGGCACGTAGGGCCTGGATCTCAGACAGCAGGCTGCTCCTGTCAGACTGGCAGAGTGGATCTTCGGATGGCTCCTGCAGGGCACCCTGCAGATGGTTGGTGGGGACGTGTAAAGATAAGCACCACAGGGTGAGAAGGGGTGCGACCTGGGAGAAAAGAGGGAGGGTGGGAGCCCCACACACTGGGAACCTAGGTCCTCCCTGAGACAAGGGCTGTAACTTGCTGAGCACAGAGGACAAGGGGCAGCACATGCAGTGAACATGCAAGGAGCCATGTGCATGGGAGTCACCTGAACCCTTGTGCCCTCTTCATCAGCGCTCTAGCAGAGAGCTCCTTACACTAGCCATGGATGCTGTCTGAGTCATGGATGCCAAGAACACAGCCTCCTCATTTATAGCTGAACTGATAATAAAAGGAACTCAGACATGTTGGTCAATCTCATAAGATAGTATAACACTATGAGTCTATGCCCAGAGCTCTCGAAGAGGCACAATTATACACACAGAGTGAGGTGGAGAGGAGGCACACACACGCTTCTCATCTGTGTGCTCAGAAACAACAAGCAGTGCACTGTAGATACTGCTGCATCCAAAGAATAAGTTAAAATGTGAATACCGACTTATGCATGAAAACAGGGCTGCATCTTCTCACACACACACACCTGAGAAACCCACGTCTGCTCACCTGTTCCCGAACAACCTTCTCCAGCCGTTCAAGCAGGAAGCCACCATCCTCCAGCTCACAGCTACCCAGCTTGGACTGCAGCTCAAGGCCTAATGCATGCTGCTCCTTCTGAAATGCATCCTGTACAGCCTGCAGGAACACTCCTCTCCAGTCTGCACACACATTAGAAGGTTCCTGAAATGGGGGACAAAAAAGCACCATCCTTACCTCACTCACCATGGATGAGGAGCAGGAGCCACTGAAACACAAGAGACCCAATCCTCCTCGTAAAGAGGGAGAGAAGCGAAGGGGACAGTGAGGGCAGGTGGTACAGTATGTCCACATTGTGCTCTCAATGTCCTGGATTAGAACCTTGCTGCCACCTGAGCAGCGTAAGGACCCAGTGCTGGCTGCTGTGGCTGGTAGCACCAAATACACTGAGCAGGTCCTCAGGACATCAGCATGTGGCATAGTCTTGGGAACAGCAGGTGCAGGTGAATGCGCTGCAGCACTCATCCCCAGGACCCAGGATCAGCCCTGGGTGGTAGCATGCTACCAGGAGACAAAATGGGGGTGGGAAGGCAGAAGTTTTGGGAATGCCCATACTTGGTGAGCCAGAAGGTCACAGCTAGAGAACCAACCCTGTTGTCCAACCCCCACCCAATTGCATATTGTACCTTCTCAGACTGGGACAGAAGCCAGGCCTCATCTAGGGTAAAACTAGTACCAAGGGACAAGCTGCTGCCACTGCCTACTTGCCCTTCTCCCATGTCACCCCATCTGACAGCCCAGTCCCAGGACTGTGTACTCCCCAAGACCCCACTGTTCATTCAAGGCCTCCAGCTACACTCAGTGCATTGTCATCACTCCTGGAAAGTGTGTGCTGCAGAGGCAATGCATTGCTCCATAATGTGCCCTGGCAGTGACAGCACTTCTTAGCGCATCAACGTTTCCACCAATACTGTCCTACCTCCTCTCTTTCCTCTCCTTTCTGGGGTGCTCCAAGGGTCAGCACTGCCTCTATCACACCTGGCGATTCCCCTGGGACACGCTTCTGCTCCGAGGCATTGCATGGCTCACCCTTACCCAGCGTGCTGGGGGGTCCCTGGTACTCAGAAAGGGCCAGGATGTGGTGGCTTTCATCACACACCATCTTCAACAGTGCCTACAACAAAAATCAGGTCAGAGAGGACAGTTGGCCTCATGCCCTGGGCAAAATGAAGACCTCTAACAGCCTGCCCAGCAGTGAAGGCGCAGGACCCCTATGCCTGCAGCTCCTGCAGCATTTCCTGAGCTTTCCTAGTGGCAAATGTTTTAGGTATGTAACACATTTTTCACATTTTTCTTATTCATTCATGTGTTGATGGGCACTTAGGCTGTTTCCATCCTTTCGCTATTGTGAATAGTGCAGTGGTGAACATAGGTATGCATATGTCTGTTTGTGACACTGCAATTAAATCCCTTGCATATATACCTAGTAGTGAAATAGTTGGGTCATATGATAGCTCTACCTACAGGTTTTTGAAGATGGCAAGACAGTTTTCTCCTATGGCTATACCATTTTGCATTGCCATCAGCAATGAATGAGGGTTCCAATTTCTCCATATCACCTTTCCAACACCTGTTATTTTCCCTTTTTTATCTTCACATCCTGTTGTTAGGGGTCCTAAAATGAAACACTGCCCAGTCCTTTGCTATCCTCATAATTGTTGCTATGTATGAGCCCACTGTTGCAGCCACTATGTCAATCCATCTCACTGAGAGCCTTACTCTTTTTTTCTGACCTACAATTTTACCAAACATGATGTCCTTGTCCAGGGACTAGTCCTTCTTGATAACCTGTCCAAAGTACTTGAGACAAAGTCTTGCTACCTTCACTTCTAAGGAGTATCCTGGCTGTACTTCTTCTACATAATTGCTTGTTTTTCTGGCATTCCATACTATATTCAATATTCTTTCCCAGTACCATCATTCAAAGGCATCAATTCATCTGTGGTTTTCCATATTCACTGTTCACTTTTTGCATGCATATGAAGCCACTGAAAATAACATGGCTTGGGTCAGGCACACCTTGGTCCTCAAAGTGACATCTTTGCTTTTGAATACTTAGAAGATATCTTTCACAGATTTGCTCAATGCAGTACATTGTTTGATTTCTTGGCTGCTGCTTCCATGGGCATTGAGTGTGGATCCAAGCAAAATGAAATCCTCGACAACTTCAATCTTCTCTGTGTTCATCATGTTGTTGGTTATTGGTCCAGTTGTGAGGATTTTTGTTTTCTTTATGTGGAGATGTAATCCCTACTAAAGGCTATAGTCTTTAATCTTCATCAATAAGTGCTACAAGTCCTCTTCACTTTTAGCAACCAAGGTTGTGTTATTGGCATATTGCAAGTTGTTAATAAGTCTGCCTCCAATCCTGATGCCATGTTCTTTTTCATATAGTCCAGATTCTCAGATTATTTGCTCTGTATAAGACTGGATAAGTATGGTGAAAGGATATATTCCAGACAAACACCTTTCTTAATTTTTAACCAGCCAGTATTCCCTTCTTCTATTCAAATGACTGTCTCTTGGTCTATGTACAGATTCCTTATAGCACAATTAAGTGTTCTGTAATTCCCATTCTTTACAATGTTATCCATAATTTGTTATAATCCACACAATTGACTGTCTTTGTCAATAAAACACAGGTAAACATCTTTCTGGTATTCTCTGCTTTTAGCCAAAGTCCAGCTGACAACAGCAATGATATCCCTCACTCCACATTCTCTTCTGAATCCAGCTTGAATTTCTGGTAGTTCCCTATCAATGTACTGCTGCATCTGTTTTTGAATTATCTTTAGCAAAATTTCACTTGCATGTGAAATTAATGATATTGTTACATAATTTCAACATTTTGTTGGTTCACCTTTCTTTGGAATGGGCACAAATATGGATCTATTCCAGTCAGTTGGTCAGGAAGCTGTCTACCAAATGTCTTGGCATTGAGAAGTGAGTGCTTCCAGTCAGTATTGCATCTATTTGTTTAAATATCTCAATTGGCATTGTCAATTTCTGGAGCTTTTTCACCAATGCCATCAGTGCACCTTGGACTTCTTCCTTTAATACTATCGGTTCTTGATTATATGCTACCTCTTGAAATCATTGCATGCTGACCAATTCTTCTTGATAGTAACTGTGTATATCTTCTATATTCTTTTGATGCTTCCTGGGTCATTCAATATTTTGTCCAGAAAACCAAAAGCAAACCCACTGCCACCAAGTTGATTCTGACTCATAGTAACCCTTCAGGACAAAGTAGGACTGCCCCGTAGGGTTTCCAAGGCTGTAAATCTTTACAAAAACAGAGTGACTCATCCTTCTGCAGTGGCATGGCTGCTGTGTTCGAACTGCCAACCTTTTGGTTAGCAGCCAAATTCTTTAACTACTAGTCCATTACAACTCCTTACTTAGCCCATAGAATCCTTCAATACTGCACCCTGAGGCTTTAATTTTTTCTTCAGTTGTTTCATCTTGAGAGATGCCAGGTGTGTTCTTTCCTTTTGGCTTTCTATCCCCAGGTCTTTGCACATTTCTTTATAATACTTTACTTTGCCATCTTGAGCCACTCTTTGAAATTTCTACTCAGATCTTTTACTTAATCATTTCTTCCTTTCACTCAGCTACCCTACATTTCAGAGTAAGTTTCAGAGTCGCTTCTGACAGTCATTTTGGTCTTTTCTTTCCTTCCTATCTTTTTAATGACATTTTGTTTTCTTCATGTATAATGTCCTTGATACCATCTCATAACATGTCTGGTCTTCGGTAATTTAATGAGTTGAAATGGGCTGATATTGGCCATTTTTAATCAGACAATCATATGGTCTCCTATGCCAGGAATGACAAATTGAACAGGAATAGTATCGTATTCATCATAAAAAAGAACATCTCAGGATTTATCCTGAAGTAGGATGCTGTCAGTGATAGGATAACATCCATTCCTCTCCTAGGAAGAATAGTTAATACCAGTTATTCATATTTACTCACTAACGACTAACACCAAAGACGAAGAAAATGAAGATTTTTACCAACTTCTGCAGTCTGAAATTGGTCAAAAATGCAATCAAGATGCATTGATAATTACTGGTGATTGGAATACAAAAGTTAGAAATGAAGAAGGATCAGTAATTGGAAAGTGAGGCCTTGGTGACAGAAATGATGATGGGGATGCACAATAGAATTCTGCAAGACCAAACTGGAAATACTGTTGTTCAACAGCATAATTGGTAACTACACACATGGACTTCACTAGATTATACATAGGAATCAAACTCACTACATCTGTGGAAAGGGATGGAGTAGCTCAATAACAATCAAAACAAGGGCAGGGGCCTAATGCTGAACTGACCATCAACAGCTCATGCAAGTTCAAGTTGATATTTAAGAAATGTAAGTAAGTCCATAAGAGCCAAAGTACAACCTTGAGTATGTCCCAGGTGAATATAGAAACCACCTCAAGAATAAATTTGACAAAATGAATATTAATGACAAAAAAAGAGACAAATTTTGGGATGACATCAAGGATACCATACATGTAGAAAGCAAAAGGTCATCAAAAAGACAGGAAAGAAAAAAGACCAAATGACCACACTAGGGTAGGGAGGACTTCCCTACCACCAAGAAGAAGTTGTTGTTGTGCTGTTACGTGCCGTCAAGTCGGACTCGACCCATAGTGACCCGTCCTGGGTTTCTGAGGTGGTATCACTACAGCAGTAGATTGCCCAACATTCCTTCTGAGGAGAGGCTGGTGGGTTTGAACCATCAGCCTTCTGGTTAGTGGTCAAGTGTCTTAGGCACTATGCTACCGGAGCTCCTACCAAGAAGAGGATGGTGGAATGTGACTTTTGGACCCGGGATCCCTGTGCTGAGAAGCCCTAAGCTCAGGAGACAAAGAGCTGTAATGCTGGAAATGGCACAAGACGGCAAGAAGCAGTGGCAAGAGATGTGTGTGAGATGGCACAGTGGGCTTCCCAGCCCACAGAGCAAGGTGGTTATGGTGAGAGAAAGAGGGAGGCCTTCGGGTGGGAGGATTCCTGGCTTAGTGGGGTGCCCCTGGGCACTTACTGATGGAGCTAAAGAACTTTGTAACAGGTCAGAGGTCTCAGCTCAGGAGTCAGAGAGAGGCCTGCCTTTGGGCACAGCTGAGAAGAGCTGTCCTGATCAAAGAACTGCATCCCGAGTTGTTCCTGATCCTGAGTTGTAACCTGTTTCTTCCCTAATAAACCCCATTTAACTCTTGGGCAGGGTGAGGAAAGATGACCATCCTAGTGAGAATGAAATGGTATCTCACTATGGTTTTGATTTGTAATTCTCTGATGACTTATGTGCATGTGTTTGTTGGCCACTTGAATAACCCTAAATGCAAACTTCCC